GTGAATATCTAGCTGTTTTTCTTTGATTAACTAAACATAACTTTGAGATAGTCATTAGTGTGCTGAAATAAACTGAGGCACAGAAAGGAATGGGAACGATAAATCACTCTGTATAAATCCTATAACATTTTTCAAATTGCAGGTATTTTAGAAAAACCTTAACAGAACCAAAATGAAGAATTTGTACCATTTCAATAATGACTTATATAGTAAAACAAAGATTGTCTTGCACAACAGTAACTTTCAAATGTTTCCTGTTATAACAATCTACAGCTTCAGTGCATATTTGCCTCTATTGCAAAAGCAGTTCAAGCTCCGAATTTTAGATGCAGCCATATATAACAAAAAATTGTTAAAGAATTGTCTCACAATGCACAAGAAAACAATAAAAGTACTAGCTGTATGTCTGTGGCACATGTTCACTTCAGGAAAGATGCATCATAAAGGAAACAACGCTTCCTTAATTAACGACCACACAACTTCCAAATATGAAAAAATGTCATGCGTCAAATTTCAGCATAATTTAGTTCCTGTACAATAACTGTCACTTAACCTTTTGAGGATATTACACATTTCCTATATAATCTTTCTTTCTATGTTTTATTGTCCACAGACATATCTACAGCTCCAAATTCAGTTTCTAGGATTTTTCATAAAAAATATTTTCACCTAGGGTTTTTTATATGTAAAAATCTGCAAGAGGTTTTACATATCTCATAAATTAAGACATTCAGATATACTTCCTGGAGATGACCCATACTCTAGCCTAATCTCCATCTCAAACACAAACTGTAAAACATAGCTCAAATCATTCCCCACAGTGGGGAACAACCATCATTCTGTTGAGCATTCCCGTTCATTCATGGAATGAATCACAGGGGCTGCTGCTGCAAACTTGAGCAATCCACAAAAGGCTATTCCACCCATGCAGAATCTTGTGTTCCTACACTTTCTCCTCTGCCTATGCAGCCTGGATGATGTAGGTGAAACAGTAGACTACTAAACTGCTACTTTCCTTATGTATTTGGCAAAGTAAAGAGATGTGTGTGTGGACAGTCCTTTCTATGAGCAAGTCTAGAGGGAGTGATTTGAACTACATTACAACTGCAATAAATGTTTTCAAGGAGAAACTGACAGTAATGATCTTTTGCATGATTACTTCTAATAATATTTCCCTTATTACTGACATCATCTAGATCAGGGTTTCTCAACCTGTAGGCCACAAGAATATATGAAAGGGTAACAAACAAACTGTACAAATGGATTAACAAAACTTTTTAAAATTTTAAAAATAGATAAAAACGTGGGAAACTAGGTTTTCCCTTGCAGGCTAGTAGAGTTCCAGCCTGCAAAGGGCTGCCTTGGGCCCCTCATAACCTACTCCCCTGCATCCCACACACTGGGGGCTGAAGCCTGGGGGCAGGTCAGGAGTGAGGGGTACTAGCAGGGCCTGGGGACTGTTTTCTACTTAAAATATTTACTGGGTCAGGTCTGGCCATTGATATTTACAAGTGGGCGGTGCTGTAGCAACAAAGTTTGGCACCCAGGGCAATGCCTGCAGCAGCAGCCTACACTCGCCCCATGCACAGATCTGGGGGCACATGCCCCACCATGCTTGCATGGGAGTGCATGCAATGGTGGGAGCTGCCCTGCCGCCGTCCCTATGCCTCCCCAAACAAGCTACTCATGGCTCTGTCCCGCACCCTGCCCTGGCTGGGCAGCGCCTGTTGGCACTTCTTTGCTTTGGCGCGTGGGGCAGTCGCCCCGCTTCCCTCCGCACCCTGCTATAGCATTGCAAATGGGTCCTGGTACAAAAGTTGCGAATTCTTTGGGACAAGAATGTACCCCCTTCATGTCTGTGAAATTGTGCATCAAAGTGCTTTTTAGAAAAATAAAAAAGCTTTACTTTCGGCATCAGAATGCCATTTTCACTCACAAGGAACAGACAGACACTTCTATGTGAACACCATCAGTATTATAAACACATTAGCTTGAATAGTCATAAATACTAAGATATACTTCTAGGAATGCTTCTACCAGCGCTTGTCTTGATTTTTGGAAAGCTAAATGTGTATTCAGCTGAAAGTTACATTATCATTGTTTTATTATACACTAAAGGACACATTTCTACAATGTGACTTAACTTATGGACTCCCAACACTGAAAGTTTATGTTTATAGTCAAGAAAAAATATTTGATTTAGAGCTTTAAATGTTTTAATATTGAAAAGAGAAAAAGTTGTGTTAAAGACAGACAGAAACCTATTAGTGAAAAATGGTGTTTGCCTCAATAAACAGCAGGCCATGAAGTACAGTGCAGTGCTCTATTCCACTTGTATACTTATGTGTGGACCCTGAAGCAGCCCAACAGGAGGTCTAAAACATTAATGGTCACCTTTGTTAGGTGCGATGCCTGCAGCATTTAATTTCACCAAGTCAGCTAAAATAAGAGATAAAAAACAAACAGCACTGAGTAAAAAAATCGCTTCTGAAACAGTATACATTGTGTAACAAACAGTTGCAGCAGAATGCTGCATTAATTAATTAATGTAATTTCAGCTAACTCATGAATACAAATTTATTGTAAGACTTGCACACTTTTTTCCCACACCACCATTTTCTTCAATGACATATACGGGAGCACAATAAATGTGTCATCTACTTCTGTTACAGGTTCATTACCTAATGCAACTTTCGGCGACACACTGAGGCAATCAACGCTTGGGCCATGTTCTGCTGCACCTGAAAGTAAATAATGGGAACAACAAAAATACATTCACTGAGAAGTTTTGAACAGATTGTGAATTTAGAAAAAAAAATTTCAGGTAACTTCTTTTTTCCCTTCTCTCTCCCTGCCAACTTTTGATCACTGTGTAAAGCAACAACAATGTTTGAAGACAATGTTTTTTAAAATTTATATGGTTATTGTATTATTGTACAATAATTATTTATTACAACATTATTAGCGACCAAGACAACGCTGGGAAAAAGGATGTTTTTAGTAGGGCTGTGCAGAGCAGGTAATATTCAATTTGACAGCAATGTCGAATATTAAACTGGGTCCCCCTTCAATCTGCCGTCTGCTTTGAG